GCTTCAACGCGATGATATCGTAAACGATGAAATGAGTCTAGAGCCTGTTAATGATGCAGTTGGTATTTTCGGTGAAAGAGACATGCCAGAACAGGAGAAGAGCACGGCCTTGAGTATTGTATTTTTTGAATTACCGACGGTTTGATAGGACAGAACTACCATTAGATCAGGCGTTTTGGGGACTAGAGAATTTCAGCGGAAAACTAAGACGGCAAGAGATGCACTGATCTCAAGTACAGTTTTTGTGCAATTAAAAGTGTGTAGTGACCTGATAAGTACCAGACCAAAAAAATCCAGTTGCACCTAAACTTCACGGAAATACAGGAACACCCTATTTTCCATGAATTTAAGTAACAAAAGATGGCAATAAGCCGACTATAAAATATCTTTACCAAAAAAGATACATAAAAGTCTGAAAATAAGTCAAAGGCTGTGAATACTTATGGATTCTTCATGCAGCATCCTAATTTCACGTAATAAGAAATCAAAAGTTGTGACGTCAAGAAAGCCACATGTCCATGACTTCAAATGGGTAGGGTTAGAACCTCAGCAATTACTTCTGGGAACTTTAAGAGGTGTAAATGTCAAAAAGTTCATTAGAGTTGAGAAGTAAGGAAAGTAGTAAATTCCTGCCAGCTAGCAGAAATAGTACTAGAAAACATACAGGAGAAGTAATTTTTCCTCAGTATTGCACATGAAGCAAAATATAGGAATATGAGGATACAAACTGACTGAACTTTAGGAGATAGGATTAAGAGAAGAGTTGATGCTGAATTAAAAATAGAACTGTAAAAGGAGGAAAAAACCTAAATATACTGCGAATTCAGGTAAAGAGTTGGTGAAAACCGATATTGTCGATAGTGTTAATTAATGAACTGATAAATATCAGGGAAGCACAAACATATGGTTCACTAATTTTTATGGCCTTATTTGAGTTGAAAGAAATAATCGAAAACTTAAACCCTGATGTGATACTATTCACCGAAACGTACTTACTTTGCACCACTTATCCCAAAGGATCAAAACAGATAGTATTAGGAAAGGCATTACTATATACGGTATGTCTGAAGAGATAACAGGGTTTGATCGTCAGAGTTAAAGGCGCATGTCAGTGATATAGCAAGTTGTAGAGTTAAATAGAGCCAAGGGACTGTGATAGTCGTCATTCATCCCGGTTATAACAGCCAAGTAGAGAGGCTGAGCCAATCGGAAAGGCATCTTGGGGTATTTAAGGAGTCTCAAGCCAACCAACAACGGTGATTGTCTCTTGCAATTTTGTTCTAACCATCACTTGTTCCTGGACAGCACTAACTTTAAGCATAAGGAGATACACTGCCTCACATGGTGTTCACCGACATCCAACAAACGATGGACGCGCCTGGATCATACTGATTTAGACCGCTGTGGAGGATTGGCGCTCCTTCTGGAGTACCAGCTTAGACTCTGGTCATGCGTTAGTATCGGCTCTTGCAAATATGAGCCTTATTGGTTGCAGAAAAGCCTGTCCATGCTCCATTCGAAGATGAGGATGCCAAGTACGCATTCCGGGAGGAGTCAACTAAACGTTTTTCTGGACATGACAGTAATGCTGATCCTGAGAAAAACTGGTATGATATCGAGTCCGCTAAAGAAATGGCGGTAAAGACAATTGGTCACCCGCACCTGAAAGTTATCAGTATTCTTTGGATTTCCGCGGCATTATTCAAGCTGACTGATGCCAAAAATTGATTCTAGATGGTTCACTTTGACCACGATGAGCAGCGAAAGCAACTCCAACGGAAATTAACTAATAGTCTTTGCACTGATAGCTAGCAGTGATTGGTGGCGAAAGCGAGAGAGATGGAGAAGGCATCAGCAGTGGGTAGCACTCGGCGAATATTTAGGCTTATTAGTGATACTGACAAGAACAAGACGATGATCAGTGAAACCATCATTGAAAACCATGGGACACTGATAAACCTCCAGCACAGACGGCTAGGATGTTGGACAGATCACCTTGAACCTCGGCTTCACTGGCCCTCAGCAACGTCTCATTTATCCGACATCCAGCCCGAACCCGAGTGCAGCTTAGATATCGGTTTTCCAACTCTACTTGAAGTTGAAAAGGCTATGTAGAACCTGAAACGATGCAAGAAACCAGCAATCGACGGTTTTCCATCTGAAGTTTTTAAGGGTGGAGGTTGGAAATTACTTCTTAAAGTGATGGAAGTACTAGGTGTATGTGAATCACTGGTAGTCCCATCATACTGGTGTATTTCACTGATCATCGCTATCTGTGGGAAGGGACAGCAATCCTTTTTGACAACCGTAAAGGAACTAGTTTGACAAATATCATATCCAAGAACCTTGGGTCCATAGTTATCCGACGCCTAAATGGAGCTCGAGAACAGCAAACTCGAGAAAACCAGGCAAGTTTCCCACTCAACGAAACCAGGTTGCATCGACCATATTTTCACCCCACGACAGGTTGTGAAACAGCAGCATACATATCGGTGACCGACACTTGCCATATTTCTTGACCTGATGGCAGAATTTGACTCTGTCGACTGCAAGGTTTTGTGGTAGTGTCTAAATGTGAAAGGAGCACCGATCAATCATATAACCCTAATCAAAGCTGTCTACTCGAACTCACCAGCCACGTAAGGGCTGAAGCAAAGTTGTCATGCAAGTCAATGACAATAAGTGGTGTCCATTGTTACCGTTCCTATTAAACTTCGTCATAGACGTATCAATGGACATAGTCTTAAGTGAGTCTAACTTCACAGAGAATGACTTATTCGTCGGAAGTCATCTGGTTGCTTTTGAGTATGCAGACGATATGGTCCTGCTATGTGAAGACAGTGAAGATATGCAGGGTCTTCTGAACGCGTCGAGCAGAAATTTGCATATGGTTGTCATGCATTTTGCACCTGTCACATATAAGCTGATGCTCCAAAACTAGTCTGCTGCAAGCACTTCCAGTTTAGCTTTGGGGAGTGAAGTAGTGGAATGTGTTGAACACTTCATTTACTTAGTTAGTTCGATCAGCTCAAACGAACTAGTTGCTGACGAAATCTCATCTGGGATCCAGAAGGTACGTTTGGCATTTGCAAAACTGTCACACTGACTGGTGAGATATTCTACCATCTATCAAAAGAAGAGTATATTGCACTGAAGTCCGCTGTATTGCGTTGTATGGGTGTGAGATATGACAGTTAAAAGTAGACGACATGAGGTGACTGTAGGGTTTTGATCATAGGTGTCTTCGTAGCAGCGCTTGCATGCGATAGAATCACTTTGTAAGCAATGTTGAGATCAGGTGAATGGTACTAGGCAAGACAGGTATATCGATTATTGAGATTATAGATCTTCATTGACTGAGGTCGCTTGGACATGTACTGTGCATGCCGAGTTACCATCTAACTTGACGTGCAATCCTAGAGGGAGTTAGACTACATTAAAAAGGGTTCAGAGTGGCTAGATTAAAAATTTGCACCATTCGGTGAAGTCTGTGACCTTTGGTCTGAGTTGCGTTGGGAGATATAGACTACCTGGGTAAGGTTCTTGAGATGAAAGGAATTTGTGGTTGAGGACTCTGGGTGACATGGGTGGAAATCGGTGACACTGGAACAGATATAGTCACCTCATTATGTCTTTTAAAGCTTGAATATTTACACTAACTGTTTCCTTCAAATTGTCTATTTTCTCGCATAATATTTTCTACTTTGGTATAAGAGCATAGATTATGGTGTGGCATAAGAGTACGTTCAATAACATCAGAAGCACATGTCAGTGACACACGCGAAATAGTATGTTGCGACGTAGAGTTACGGCAATACATGCTTTGGCTCACAGCATGAGCCTTCACTATTGGATCTAGTATTCAATCACCAGTATGATGATATGAATGGTCTCCAGTACCTTCCACGAATGGCGTATAATGACCATGTAGATAATGCCATTAGATATAGAATTTACGACTCAGTTTATGAATTGACTTCCCTAGCCCAAATATTTGGTGGACATACTTGATGTTTCAGCCTTAGGAGACTGGTACGTCACTACACAACGGACTGTTGGAGAGGCTTGAGAAAAATTCAAGGCGACATTAGAAAGCATAATTTCCGCTTTCATTCTGTTGTCAATATAACGGAGGCTTACTTACAAACATCCTTTAATAGATAATCACACACAAAGGTTATCAAGGAAGAGGAAGAACTACTGGAATCTATGCACATAAAAATATTTATTATGCTTCAGTTAAAGTGCCGTAAATTTTGGAACTTTTGCAAGATTTTTATCACTAAACGTCACCATGAATATGAAAACGAATTAGTGTACGACTGTATTTTCCGTCCCAAAATTCGTTACCATTATTATGAGCAGATCAAGAGGTATGGCTGAATAAGCACTCTAGATCTTAGTCGAAACTTAGACGTCTTAGCTGAACATAGGCAGAAAAAGAGGGAAACTTGTCGAAATACTTCAGTAAGATTTTTGTGATAGGTTTCAGGGCTACGAGCATGATAGAAGTAGAAGCGAATAGAGCATTTTTGAGAAATAAGAGGCTACTAGTGGGATTCCCCAAGGAATTATACTACTAATGCCTCATTCCTTTCTGCTCATTCATTACCCATCCAGCATTTACTTCGAGCGTACTTTGTCACTTTCGGGCTAAAACCCAAAAACTGTACTTCGTGTGCATATCAGGAGACGCATGATACCTCACGAATGTTCCAAACCTTTTCCCCTGAAGTGTCAAAAGTCACGAAGTGCGCCCGAAGTATTTCAGTGTACTGAAAAACCGGTGTGTCTAAATCATCATCCAATATCCAATATCCAATATTGATAGTGCGAGCGTAGAAAACTAGTAGTTTTTGATCTCTCGCGTCTAGTTCTTAGGGCTTGGTTCCAGTCCCCATCATCGTTGATGTTTCAGTTGAAAAAACGACTAAATTGCTCCTTATTCTAATTGCTAGTTAAGATGCCATACACTTGGATAGTGAGCACTAAGCTCATACCTTTGCTGCCCCATATTCTGCATTGTCGTCGGAAACACAAGATTGTTTTAAGCTGACGCAGAGTATAAGCATTTCAAACAAATTAAATGTTACATCCAGTATTTGTTTGAGGAGCTTGAGTAAACCAACTGATTTCTTCCCCCTTGCTTCTAGGTTTGGCAGAACAGTTCCAGATCTTTGATAGACTGAAATGCAGCAGGTCTAGCCGCTCGTCTGCTATAGCCCAGGTATACACAACAGGCGGTTGGGTGCTGAGATTAGTTTACCTGAAAGTGAGGTGCAGTTGGGTTCTTCGAATGTCGAATTGCCAGACAGTTGTTCGGACCGGTTGTAAGGGGGAGTCAGAGATAGTGAAGAGGTAGCCTATGAAGACATATGTGTGTGAACAAAAAACTAAGAAAAGTGAGATGATAGAGTAATCTGCGTACACCCAGATAAGACGAGATGGGTGCAAAGATATGCAGAAATTATATCAGTGAGGTTGAACCATAGTCGGCAAGAGAGATGGGGAGGGCTCAATGGATTAGAGTAGGAAGAGGACTGGTGTATAAGCGACAGTGTTGGAAAGGTGTGACAGCAGATGATTTCTTCGGTCTGATTCTCATTCCAACTAGATAAAGGTAACCCGTGGGTCACTGAGTAACTGTCTGGCCTTTTCCTGAAACTGTCAAGGTGGGGACTGCCCCTGCCAGCAATAAATTCCAGCGCTCAAGCACTCGAGGGGAGTAGAAGTGTTTATAGCGTCACACACTTCCCCAAAATCAATAGCCTAGGGTGCGACGACACTGAATATTGGTGCTGACCCTGATAGTTTAACTAAGCTGAAGGCACCCGGTCAGGCATCCTCGCCATTTGGTACGCTGTCGTGTTAAGTTGCACTGCTCGTATTCGACTCTCTAGCCAGTTAGTTGAAACGCGTCGGTATCTTGGTGCAACCACCCAAATACACTATTCCATCCGACTACGCTATCGTGTTCTTCCTCGGTCTCGTATTCGTGGTTATTTAACAAGTCCGAATAATTAGTGACTGGTCTTTGCGTCTGTCAAGTTCGCAACAGGACAAATCCCAAATATTAAGGCACACAAGCCTTTAACTTTCAGTGGGCAATTCTCTTCGAGTTTACAAGAGAATCATCGTGGTGGCCGCTCAGCAGTATACCTCTATCTGGAAGATGAGGTATTTCACCTCGAAAAACCTACGTGATATCTGATAAGGGTGAGTGAATATTGATTGTTTTCCTTGCCTACATTGTCGGGCTAGAGAAGGTGGGCACTGGCTCAACTAGTAGGGCTGTCAAATGGTATGTGGGGAACATTGGAGTCGATATCCAGATTCTCCTCTCCGAACGTCAGGCACACGGGCTACTCGCAAAGTTTGTTGACAGTGACCTACGAAACGCCTCACCAAGCAGGATAGAGCGAACATCTTTATGTTCTCCCGTCTCCCGAGCTACCAGACGATGGAGGAGACGGGGATAGAACACCGAAAATCAACTAAACAGGGGTACAGATTGCAGGTCTCACACTGTCCAGGGACCCAGTTAGTGACAACTAATATGGATAAAGAGACGATTACTCGTTCTCAACCTGCTGATGTCAAGGTAGCTGAACTAGACCGCAGTCAACGGCGCACACCTGACGCTGAGAAATTGAGATTAACTAAGACTAAACAGCATGCCAAGAAGCCAACGATGGAAACAAAATCAACCATTAACATTCCACGGGGTGAAAATAAAGCTGAGCTCCCTGAAAGATCTGCAGTCTTCTACATAGTGTAGGAAAGTAGGGACTCGGACTCACGTAATCGTTTGGAACATGACCTTGGCAGGGTGCGAACTTTGGTAGGCAAGCTGTCATCAGAAAACCTACCAGGAGCCACTCTACTTAAAATATATATAGTAGGCTCAAAAGAGGCTGGTCCTGTTGAAAACGAGTTCTGGCTTCCTAAAGTTTTGTTCAGATAAACCGGGGAGAGAATTAATATTCGAGAGAATGCTCACTGACTTCAAGGAAGTGGGATGTTCAGGCATGAGGATCTGCCTCTTGTCGATCTACTAGACAAACGAGAATCATCCAAACTAGCAGCGGGAGAGAAAGACATAAAGGTGGTGGGTTTCCGTACAGTGCAGCTTTAACAACAAAAGATGTCGAAGTCTTTGTGGATAGGACAAGAAACAATTCAAGTGATTTCATAATCTTGCGCAGAAATTTCTCACACAGGTGGACTGTGCTGGGCAGTATAACATGCGTGAAAATCCCCAGCACCGTTGCTGCATCAGGAATACGGTGGTCTTTTGGGATCAGTGACAGTCGGAAACATTTACGGAGACTTTTCTTTCGAGAAGTGATAGGTTGGTATGTGAAGGTGACGGTGTTATCCTTCAAGTTAGCTGCGAAAGAAGCGGATATGGTTGTAAGTGGAAGTGGACGTGTAAAGTGCCGCGCTAATGACAGAAATACAAGTGATAAGATGTTGACCTAATCGCAATATATAGAAGCCCTAAATGTGAGGTGGAAGACTTCCTTCTAGATAAGCTGGCCCTCTGAACACAGGTGAAGATGCCTAATCGTAGAAGATCTCAACTGACTGAGAAAGACTAAAAACACCATCCTTTAATTCATTTGATCATAGGTTGGAGGAAGAGTCAGTTTCCTTGGTAAAGTAGGGAAGGAACTAGATCCCATAAACAGTGTTCGTTGTAAACCTCAGCTGGATATGATGATATCGGCTAAATCTTGAACCCTGCACCCTTTCATAGAAGTCTGCGAACAGTGAACACAACCAGATTCAAAGCAGAAGTACAGAGCATGGCCGATGACACAGCAGGACGCCATACAGGAAAACAAGTGTGGTAGCTCCATACTCGACATCCTTTCTTCATTTACGGCAAAGTGATATGGTATTAATCACCTGATGATGCTCCGAGCATAAATTATTGCTCACAGTCATATCAGTGTAATCACTCTACTTTCCACGTCTGGTTCTCATAGTCCTGTAGCCTCACACAATCTGTTTTTATTGGTGGTAAAACTTTCAACGTCTCTGGCATAGATGTCGCGTCATTTCTATTACATGTGCTGAGTGCTGACTCCATGAACAATGATTCAGTAATCGACCTCTCTGTCTTCACCTCATTATAACAGATTTAAGTGCAGTGGTTTTATCCCGACCTATTGTGTGCTTGTATGCTAATGCATGCATTGCAGTAGCCGAAATTCTTCCAGATTACAGGCTTTGTCGGGGTCTTTCATTCCACATACCTGATTTCGTGGTCATTAAATCGAATTTGATAGCTTCCTATATATTGCAAAATAATGAGCGAGTACTGGTACAGTCGAATGTTTAAATGATGGGTTAGAAAACTGACTAGTCAATGCAAAGACCTAAACAAGTTACCGAAACACATAAAAGGAGCACTGGTAGTTAGTAATTGTCCTCAACAAATTGCTGAAGGACCTCACGAACATATAACAAATGAGATGCATGTCCTTTGGTAAACACATTGAATCTGCTGTGGCGCTTCGCTCAATATATATGATCCTTCGAATTAAGCTACTTGAATAGTTTAGCTAGCATTGCTTTTCTGCAGAAAGAAATTGCTGAGCTATTTCCACTTCTTTTTTAGTGATGCTTCTAGATACTCACCAGACACGACTTTCATTTCCGTCAGATAATCTAACCCTGCGCAAGGATGACATGCAAAATCGTGAAGCGTTCCATACTTCTTTTAACCTCGCCTGGTTAACTAGTTCACTAGTTACTAGCCGGTCCTAAGCCCAGGTAAAGAGGGAAGCTTGGGCGTAGAGCTAGCAACCCTACACCTGAAAACAAATCTAACCGCTAAACAAACTTCAAAGCACAAACAAAATATAAAAAATAAAATAAAATTATTCCTCGCTGGAATCGGAGAGGCGAAATGACGCCAGTTGGTGAAAGCCTTCGAGAAGCCAATTGGCCCGGCCAATGTGTCTTCTCTCGATGAAAGCGAAAGTAAACGTGACGACATGGAATGTCCGTACGATGTTTGAACCCAGTAAGGCAGCCCAGATTGCAAAAGAGATGAGAAGGTATCACATTGAAGTGCTTGGGATTTGCGAAAGCAGATGGAATGGGAGTGGACTCTCCAAACTGTCAACTGGAGAATCAATAATCTACTCCGGTCACCCAGATGACAACCACAAGCACAGCACACTGAGTTTACCAGTGGATATCATGATGTATCCAAGAGCATCGAAGGCTCTCATGCAGTGGGAACCAATCTCCTCCAGGATCGCGATCATGACAGCAAGATTCAACTCAAAGGGAAGGAAGGTCACAATCATACAATGTTATGCACCTACGAATAATGCAGAGCAAGAGAAGGAGGAATTCTACAGACAACTGCAATCAACACTGGACAAGACACCACCTATGTTGGCGACATCAAAATTCTAACGCATCGGGTGACATGAATGCCAAACTGGGAGGGGACAACACAGGAAGAGAACTAACCATGGATCGAGAAGCACTCGGTGAGGTGATGAAAGAGAATGGAGAATTGTTTGCAGAATTCTGTGCATTCAACGATTTGGTGATTGGAGTCAGGCATTGTGTTCAAGCACAAAGATATCCACAAAGCGACATGGATTTCACCAGATGGACACACTAAAAATCAAGTCGACTTTATCTCAATCTCAAGAAAATTGCGACGCAGTCTACTTGACACAAGGTTGGGAAGAGGAGCAGATGTAGGTTCAGACCACTCACTGTCTAATGGAAGGAAACTTCCAAATCAAGTTAAAAGCCCTCAATGAAGCTGGTGATAGACCTCAATTCAAGTACAACACTCGGAAACTGAGAGATGAAACTATAAAGGAGATCTTCAAGGCAGCCATCAAGACAAAATGGGAGATATCGAGGAACATCCCTGAAGAAACCTGTGTGGAAGGACACTGGAAGTCTTTGAAAACTATGTGGAAAGAAACCTGCACAGTCGTATTAGGAAGGAAGAAGGTGGAAGACGGGGAATGGATCTCGACGGATACCTGGAAGCTGATAGAGCAGGGAGAGGAGGATGGTGAAGCAG